AATCTTTCTCCCTCCCACATTCTCTCTATCTTTGGCTGCACTCCATGCATCCCATACTATCTAAGCTAATTCACCCTCTATCAGTTTGTCCTTCTTGTCTTTCTTATGTATTTTTCGTGTTATTTTGACAAAAACAAAAATGCACTTAGTTTCTTTGAGGAAAGCTTTTTAACAAAGACACGAAGCTTTTATCATTAGAAATGATGAGAAGCTCTGTAATCGACTTGTCAATCCATTTCCACAGCCTATTCCGCAATCTGATACTTCTCATCTTCATTTTCCTTCATTCCGTTCACGTTTAAACATAATTTTGTTTCTTGTCTCGATTCCCTGTCAGTCACAATCAATAATTAAAAGTTTTTTTTTATTTCATACTCATATGCATCTAACTCTCTCTCCCTCTATCAATCTCACTCTTTACCTCTTCCTTCCACTCTGTCTCTTTCTCTCTCTCTCTATCCTGCCCCCTCTCTCTCTCTTTTTTCCTTAAAAAATTTTTGTTTGAAAGTGGCTGTATGGATGAGATGGAAAAGCTTAAGCCTCCTTGATATTTAATTGCCTCAGGGCATTGCATCGTTTCGCAATAGAGAATATGAGTTTCCATTTGCTCAAGTCAAACTTGTCTTTCTTCCACTTTTTTATTTTTCATTTGACTTTTCTCAACTGAAATATCTAAAAAATGAATTAGCTTAGTTTCGATAAGAAGAAGAAGAGTTCCTCGTCTAATGAATTCATTAATGAAAAGCTAAGGAATCTCATGGATTCTGCTTACTTGCCCAACCTCCCATATTGTATCAAATTATTTGTTGGATGCTCTTTGATTTCATCAAACAATCGTCTCATTCAGATAGTTTTTTGTCTTGACTTCCGTTCCATTCTCACCAACATGCATGTGTGTCCATTGGATAGCCAAATGTCTATGATGTTCCATTTCTCATCAGAAGCTCAAACCACATTCCGCAAACGTCAGCAGTGTATAGAAATTCATTTAATCATTGAAATACAAAAAAAAAGAGAAGAAGAAGAAGAAGAAGAATGTGAATAGAAATGAAAATACACGTAATCTAATGCTTCACGTAGCAATCGGTAGATTCTTCTGCAGCCACACAAACACAAACACATACACGCACATACACATACCGACCTTCACCTTTAGCTTTTACTTGAACAAACTTTTCATTTTTGAGCAATGCTGACGTAGTGAGCGGTTGTGTGAGTTTTGACAGATTTTTTTTCATTAATTTTAAATTTTCTTTTGTGTATATGTGTATACGTGTGTATACGTGTGTGTGTGTGTGTATGTGTCTGTAAGTGTATGTATGTGTGTTGGGAGAATGTTTCAGAAAAAAAGAAGAAAAAAGAAAAAAAATATTTTTTTTAGATTTTAGATTATTGATTTGAAGTTGTTTTAATTGTTATGCATAATTAATGAATTCGATGGATAATTATGTGTCTAACTGCTCAAGATGCCAATCCAATTAGGACCATTTTTTGATTTCAAAAAAATAAAATAGAAATCCTCTCGGGCATATCTAATTGTGATAATCTTATGTGTAAGTGTATGTACATATGTGTATATATCTATATATACATATGTATCTATGACTTAACTATGTGATTATTGAAAACGAGCACACACGACGAGCCATATATGGTAGATCTCTCACTAGCTCGTCGCATTTAGCATCCTCTTCTCAAACAAACAAACATTTTTTTTTTTTTTTTTTTGCTTCATGTTGTTGTTGTTTATAAAAACATTTAAGTTTATACAAATTCATCCGGATGAACATCATCGTCTTCATGTTGATAGAAGAAGCTTCTTCCTTTCCCTCTTCATTGCTTTCTTTTTTTTCTTCGAAATTACCAACAACTTTGACGAAGCATCATGACGTGTTGTGGCTGTGTGAGCTGAGAGAAGGAATACGAAGCAATGAAAGAAAATATAGAAGAAAAATTTTTTTTTTCCATTCTCTTCTGTCTGCCTTGATCTTACAGCAACAAGATCGGTTCATTTGTGTCATCTATTTGTCCTTTCCAAATGATGTGGCAGAAGCCCATTAAAAATAATAAAAATTAGAAAATTTCAAATGCGTCTCTCTCTCTCTTCATTTTGGTTTTTTTCCAGCTTTGGCGCTGTCTTCCAGCTACATCTTCCTTCAACGTCCCTCCATCTCCCGTACTCTTATAAGCACTTTGGAGCTCAAAAATTTAAAGAAAGTTTCTTAGTTCTCTTCATTAGTTAAGCCTTTTACTCTTTGCTTTGTACTTGTTGAATATCTAATTGGTAGCTGTCATTAACGATTTCATCGTCAATTCAATTGAAGACTTACTGAGCTTTCCAGCATTTTTTCATCTTTATCGCTCCCCAAACCCCTCTCTCTCTTTCTCTATCCCATTCTCTCTTACTTTCTCTCTTAATGCCGTTCCGGCTTCTCATACAATCCATAAGAACCTTGTTGACTATTAATAAAATCCATTTTCGTCAACCATTTCATTGGACTATTTGTCTGAAAATGTGAAAAATTTTGTAATTTTTTCCTTTTATTTGCTTCCGATTGTGCATGTCCTTACTCTGTCACAATGTCTTTTCCCATCAAGTGGAACCAGGAAACAACTTGTAAACATCATGCAATGGACTTATCATTTCATCTTTTTTGCTTTTTTTTTTGTCAATCCACCCCCTCCTTCATTTTCTTTTTCCTCTCTCTCTCTCTCTCTCTCTGTCTCCCTCTTAGTCTCGTTTTGCTCTCATATACTTTGATCTGCTCTCTTTGAATATGTTGAAATATCCTAAATCCTAATCAAATTTAGCATTTTTGCTCTTTTAGTTTCCTTTCTATTCGTCTCTTCTAAAGCGTCGTTTACTTTTCTTGACCGAAATTTGAGAATTTCGATGAAGAAAAACGTTTTTTTTTTCTTAAAAATTGTTGAACTCTTCTTCCTCGTCTTGTTCATCTTCTCATCATATTCGTTTACCTGAAAGATGGAACTAGATATCCATATGGCTGACACTTGTACTCATTGTACTCAATGAGCTTGATACTACACATACACTATACAAGCCATGTTGTGGATGAGCACTTTGACAAAGATTTTGCATAAAGTTTCATTTTTCCTTTTTTTTATGCTTTTGACATCTAAGCTCAGCAAAAGTATAAAACGAGAAAGTGGTGTTGTAAGCTTATAATGGAATCCACATTGCTAATGTCTTTCATCTTTGCTCACTTTTTCCTGATAATTATCCTGTCGACTTTCAAAGTTTTTAATGTCCTTCCCTTCTTCGTTAGCTATCTTACTCTCCCTCTCTCTCTCCCTCTCTCTATCTTTCTTTATCTTTATGCATATCTACCATATCCACTATCTCTCTCTATCTCTCTATGTTTTCGTATTCAGTTAGAGAGGTTTTTTGCCTGTCTGTAACTCTCGTAATTTTTTATTTTCACTAAGTGTTCTTTCCTTCTCTTCTAACTCCCCCACCCTCCCTCTCTGCATCTCTCCTTCTCTCTCTCCTTCTCTCTCTCTCTAATACATCATTCACTCTTATCCTTTTTCTCGAATTAAAAGAAAAGTTATGTGAAAGATAATATTATTTAAATCCGATTAACAATATTTACGTGTGAAATATTATAAATAGCATTGAGAATTTCTTTTTTCTTTCTTTTTTTTTATTTTCAAAGTTTCTTTCACTTTTTTTGTTGGTAATTTTCATTTTTTCACAAATATTTGTTTAATTAATCTTTTTATCAAACGTTATTTGCATATTTACACCCTTTAACACACTCACACACACATTCACACACACACAGATCATACTTGTAAACAGATGATGATCATATCCATCTTCCACTTTTAACTACTCTAATCCGTTCCACGTTTCTCACGTGAACTTACGTGAACAGCGTTGCGTGGGAGTTTTGGTTGTTTAGATGCAAAATACGGTTGTTCACTTATTCCAAATTATTATTTTCGTTTTTTTTAAAACATATTCTGTGTGTGTTCTCAACCTCTCTTTCATCTTCTCATTTTTCTCCTTCTCTCCTTTTTTTTTGTTTTATTCCGGTTATCGTTTTCCTTTTGAGAATTCAGTTTTTTTCTATTATTTTTCATTATTTCCGTTTTTGGACTAAAACAGAAACTTCTGATCGTCACAAAGAGCAGGAGACAGGCAGAGATAGATAGATAGAGAGAGAGAGAGAAAGAGGGTACAGATACAGAGAGATGGAGCAAGAAGCTCGCTGCAAAAAAGAAAATAATAAGAGGGAGGAGACATGCAGAGCCATGATGGACATTTCTTAAAAGTAAAAAGTTGAAAAGAAGAATTTTTTTTGCTTTTCACAGCAAATGCGCTTCGTCCACCACACGTCTTTTGGCTCTTAAAGTCATCTCGTCCGTCATGTGTTTGCGAAAGGAAAGTCATTGCAAATTTCATTTTTATCCTTCGTTTTCTTGAAGGAATTTTTTTGTTTTTTTTTTACGGCTTTTAATTCATCTTTTTCGACCATAATGCACTAGCAATGCTACACATCCTCTTGAACTTTTCATTCAAAAACGAGAAAGATTTTTCTTTTTTTTTTGTTTCCAAGCCCCAACTGACTTTCAGTTGGCCACTTGACGAGCTCACTTTATCATTTTTAACATTTTTATCTCAAGTTTCGTATTTTTTTCATTCTTTTGGAGATGAAAAAAAAACTTTAATTTGAAACTTTTTTTTTCCATTTTTTACATTCCACACCATATCCTCCCTCTTGAAACACTTATCTTTCTCTTCGTCCCTCTCTACATCTTATGCTCTATGTGTCGTATCTCCATATTTCTTTTTTTGTTCATCTTCTCACTTCTTTTTGCCTCTCTCTTCTACTTCGAAATCTGTTTGCATAATCTAAATTTGTGTTTATAAAATATGTTCGTTCTATCTTTCTCCATTTTTTTCTTTTTTTAAGTTTATTTTTTGAAGGAAATTTTGACGGAAGCAGATCAAGAACGACGCACAACCATTTCAAATGGTGGAAAGCGACACATCAGCATGGGATTCCGAAGATTTGTCACCCAGGAATCTGCATGTTCCATTTGCCAACAGGTATTTTGATTTCTCTCTCTCTCTCATTCATACTGAGCTTCACATTATATTCTCTCGCAATTCTATTCGAGCTTCTCCAATTCCATTCTGTATTATGTATATATCGTTCTTTTGTAAACTATTTGTATAGTAAAACAGTACATCTGAGATTATGTGCAGACGTCTGTTACAAATGTTTCTTTTCGAAGTTAGGAGGATCAGAATAGTTTACATCTGAGGGGCAAAAGCCTTAAAATTCGTGAAAGTTGTGTCGATTTGCCTTCTCATACACACATAGTTAACACATCAATTTAATTTTTCTCTTTTTTTAATCTAATTGACAAGGAATGTGTGAGTGAGTTAGTGAGTGTGTGTATGTGTTCATGTTTGTGCTATGAGATCATCTTGTATTCTACTGAACTTCACCTTTTGTTTTTAATTTTTCCTTATTTATTTTCGAAAAGTTGTTCAAAAACTGATAGTTGTGATATACCGAAGGACAAGCTAATGAAAATGACGTGACAAAACCAGTTTTTTGTCTTTTTCTCTCTCATTCTCTCTCTCTTCTTGTTTTCTATTCCATAAAATAACATTTTCGCAGTTTTGTCTTATCAATTGCGTCCCAATTCATCAAAGTTCAAGTTTTATATTTAAATTTCTGAACGCATCTCTCTACATCTCTCTCTCTATCTCTCTCTCTCCCTCTATACTACCGCTCTTTACATAATCTTAATTTCAATTAACACATTTCATTGTTGGCGTTATGAGAGCTTTAGGTTAAAAGCTTAATCGACGTAGTTTTCGTCGTCAAACAATTCCATATTTCGCTCTTTGGGTAATGTCCTTTTTCTCATTATTTGCATCATTTTGTCCATTTGAATTGTCATTTAGCTCAGCTGGATATGAGATTCGAAACTGCTTCACATAGGTCGTGGAGCTTTTGAAAAATCCCTTTCATAAGAATTCTACACCCCCCCCCCTCCCTCCCTCTCTTCTCTACTCATCACCCTCTCTCTATCTTATCGTCGCCTCCCTCTTTTTTAATGAGCGAGAGATCATTAATCCATTCATAAGACATATTTCCTTCTCTATCTCTCCTTTGCAGCCGTTTTTGCGTTGTTCCACGAATGCACTAACTCTGTTAGCTTTCACATGTTTTCGCTAACTGCTTTTTGATTCTTTCAAAGAAGGTTGTAAATTTGGAAAATTGTTTGTAAAACTCAATATGCTCTAACCAGATTGAGCTTATTTCGTTCACGTCTTTCATTATGCAATTGAACATTATGGATAATAGGAGGGAGGAGAAGAGAAAAAAAGGAAGAAGAGGAAGCTGAAAGAGATAAAGAGAGCAAATTATTGTTCGTTTAAAATGCAAAGAAAGTGCTAAGAAGCTATCACATGCAGTCTAATTCAATCACTTCATATAGAAGTTTTTGGTAGCCGCTTCAAGCTAAAGGACACAGAATGATGATGAGTTAGAGCTTTAAGCTGTTGAGCTTTGTGAATCCAAGCATGGCTAATGTCGTCAAATCTAGTCCTAATTGCAATTTTTGGCATCAAACTCACATTCCGGAAGCTTGTTGTGAGCTTCTCAGCTTGTGTGACTTGGGTCGTGTTCTCTTTGTGATTTGTTCTCCTCCTCCTCCAAAAACTTACTCCTTCTTTTGTCTTGACAAGCAGAAGGCTGCTTGTAGTTGACTGGATTGCGTCGTCCTTAAACAACCTAACAGCACTAATAATTATTATTTGATTATATACTAAGCATATATGATATAGTTAAAGCTCAAACTATATTATTATTATGGATTGGAGAAGGTATCTTATATTTTGATTTCAAGCATTCCATCCTCCCTCTTCTCTCTCTCTCTCTCTCTCTCTATCCATCTTTCTCTCTCTTTTCTCTACTCTTTTTGTTTGCTTCTCTTTCCAATTTTAAGTTAATGAATTTGAAGCGTTTCAAAAATATTTTTCTTCTCTCATGAGTTCCAGTAATATCCATATAAGGACTATAGCTTAGATTGAGTTCATTCATGAACTTCTCCCCATATTTTCTACATTCAATACTTCCAGAAAAGCCCTGCGTTCCTCACTTATCAAACACGGCGGCCGTAACCGGTCACCGGGCCGGAAAACCGTTTCATTTTCTTCACGAAATGAGGACAAGAAGATCTCAAACGGTTTGTATTATAATCTTAGCCTAATGATACTTCATGTGGTTATAGTCAGTGATTGCTGGCATATTATGCAAACTGGAAGTGAATTCGTGAAACTACGAGGAACAAGTCGACAGTTCCGTCGATTATTCAGGTATCAATTTATCATCTTTTTTTGTGATTTTGCAATCATTGTTCGACAACCGATTGAACCGATCAATGAACAACAAAGCGCATATGCTAATTTTGAACCGTGGACGGTGCCACGTACAAGCTAACATGAGCGCTATTTTCATTTGAATTTGAAATGAACACTCAAAGCGGCTATCCTTTTTGCTTTTCTGTTATTCTGTCGAAAAGTTTTTTTTGTATTTAATGTATTATAGTCTGGATGCGGATTTATCACATATTCGATGGTCACCAACTAACAAAAAGCCTCATAAAGCTCGAAGTAAAACATAACATGTTTGCATATAACTAACTATCTTTCAATATTTCAGTTGCTATTGAAGATATTCGAGAAATTCGTTTGGGTAAAAACACAGAAATACTACGATCATCCGAAAATATGCTCGCAGATTTACAGGTTTGCAGTACAACTCATGGATCATTGAATTAAGAAGGTCTATTTGAAGGAAGAATGCATTTTCTCCATTATCTATGGCGATGAATATGAAACGCTGGATTTAGTTGCAGCTTGTGCAGAAGATGCTAATATCTGGGTGACTGGATTAATGGCTTTAACGTCTAGTAAATGTAAAAGCAAAAGTTTCATTTCTATGACCTTTCATTTTTCCCATTTCAGTTTTGGATGATTGTAAACCTTCGAGCTCATCATGGGCTACGCTACGTGAACGGTTTGTGCTTTTGCTATTATGTTTTTTTTTCATTCATTCTCTATTTTGCAGATGGCTTGAATCAGTTTTTGATGAAGCTGACACAACCAAATGCGGCTACGTTAATGAGGCTACAGCTTGTAAGATCATTCGACAAATAAATCCAAGAATAGCCATACATCGTATCCGTAATAAAGTCAAGGAAGGAGCCAGTGCAGATGATGAATCTGAGCGTGGGAAAATTTATCGAAATGAGTTTGTGGAGCTTTATAAGGTTGAACTTCACATTCAATGAGTTCAACATCATAAATTAATGATTATAGGAAATCGCAACACGTCCAGAAGTTTATTTCTTGATGGTCCGATATGCGAACAAAGACTATTTGTCCTGCCAAGATTTGAGACTATTTTTGGAGACTGAGCAAGGAGTATTAATCACACAAATAGATGGCTCTTCATATCATATTCTTTGCAGATGGTTGGAGTTACAACAGATTTTTGTGAAAATATAATAGAACAGTATGAGCCTGCTCCAGAAGCCAAAGAAAACAACTTTATGACTGTTGATGGTAAGCTGTTTAATTCTCTCTTATATATGCTAATTCGTCGGATTGCTTAGGATTCACAGCTTATCTTATGTCATATGATTGTGTTATCTTTGATCCGACACATTCTAAGATTTGGATGGATATGAAGCAAGTATGTTGTACACTGTGTTAACCAAACTGTAAACATACACTTTTCAGCCTTTCAATAGATATTTCATTGCTGCATCTCATAAGACGTATATAGTTGAGGATCAGTTCGGACCTGCAACACCTGATGGATTCAGCTCAGCTTTGAAGCGAAACTGTCGTCTTATTGAAAGTATAGTGTCATCTTAAACATGTAAAAGAAAGTTCATCTTTTGCTTTAAGTTGACATCAACGATCCAGTTGAAAAACAGAAAGAAACAGAGCCAATGGTACATAATGGACCACACACCAAATTTCGCACTCCTCTATCCCTTTGTCTCAAATCCATACGTGATTCGGCCTTTGAACGAACAAGGTTATTATCTTTGATTGTTCAAAAATTACTCATGTTTTTCAAGATACCCTTTGATTATTTATCTTTCTAATCATTGCTCTCCTGACTGGCAGAAAGTGACGGCTTCATTACTAACAAGTCATTTAGGAAATAAGGTATAATCTTAATGGATCAATCAAATAATAAAAAAACCATATCTACAGCTTTATGTTCCTGGTAATGATCCAACCAACTGGAATGATCCAGAAAATCAAGCTTGTCCATGGGATTTCCAAAACAAAATTCTTATAATGGTAAATTCAAATCTAGATGTATAACGTGATTCCTTTCAAGGGTTCCAAAATAGCACCGGAGCTTGATTGCGAGGAAATATCGGAAGATGAAGAATTAGTTGTAACTAATATAACTGGAAGAAGAAAAAATAAGAAGTAAGTAGCGAGTTTTAAAAGTTCTTGAAATCGAAACATGAAGGTCAATATTCGTTCGTTTTTCGTTTCAAAAATCTTAATGGTCGCAAGGCAAAATGCGATCATTCTGCGCTCTACTAGCGGGTTTCGGGTTCAATCCCGTAAGGAAAGTGATGATTATTCGGGGTGCACTGGGCTCAGAAACATTATGTTGACAACTACCCCTCTGATTTCCTTTTATCTTTTTGCAATAGACGCAACTTTTCAGGATTGAACTGGTCAAAGAGCTGTCTGATCTCGTTCCTCACTTCTTCCATGTGAAACAGCTTAACGATTTGCTTTCAACTGCTCCTAATTCAACTACAAGTACAGCTAATTTCTTTCTTTTATTCTTTCATATATTTTAAATTTAAGTGAGCTCAAAAAAACATATTCCCAAAGTTGCTGAATCTACATGTTTACGCTTCATGCATAATTATACTAATGAGTTTGCTCAAACTGCTCGAGATTATACAATTAGGTAGGTGTGCTTCACTACTTCTAGTCTAATAATTGATATAGAGTGATACCGAATATGAGCAGAAAGGATTCGTCAAACTTGAACCCACAAGAGTTTTGGAACCATGGAGTACAATTAGTTTCTCTGAATTATCAAACACCGGGGCTCATGATGGATCTTCAAGTACGTTTGCATTTTTTTTCTACGTCATTCTAAATATTAATAATTTAGGAAGGACGTTTTTCTGAAAATGGTGGATGTGGTTATGTCCTGAAGCCTGAAATTATGAAAGATTCTCTGTTTGTTCCAGGCGAGAAGATACCCATAGCGCCACAGGCAAGAAACACATAGTTATCTGGAGAAGAAAAAGAATATTTCAGATTCTGCATTTGCGCGTCTTGTCAGGCCAGCAGCTTCCGCGTCCACGTGGATCAAATGCCAAAGTATCAGTCTTCTTCATTTTATATTTATATCTTTTCTGTTTGCAGGGCGATTCAGCGGATCCCTTTGTTGTCGTTGAAGTATTTGGACTTCCAAGCGATTGTGCTGAAGAACGCACTAAGACTGTCCGAAATGATAGTATGAAACTTTATAGAAAATTAACTTAACATAATAATTGATATGCAGGTCATAATCCATGTTTCGATGAGTCTTTCCAATTTCAAGTATCCGTGCCTGAGCTTGCACTAGTTCGCTTTTTGGTCTTAGATGATGACTTCATTGGTGACGATTTCATAGGCCAATATACAATTCCATTTGATTGCTTACAACCAGGTTTGTTTCATTTACTATCATTCACAAATCATTCCTCCAATACTGCCTCAAATTATTTTCTTCGAAAAAAAGGCCAAAATGTTATTGACTAGAGAGCTTTGTGGTAAAAAAGAAAGTTCACTCTTTCTGTGACATACAATGTTCTTTTTCGTACAACACTACGCGCTAGTTGATATTTTAAACGATCTCTCAGGGACCATTCGAAAGCTTCTAGAGCTTTCAGTCCCTTAACCCGGTCGGTTGGTACAACTCCTCTTATGTTTATTAACACAAAGTCTGTGAGCATGCAACTTGTTTCTCTCATTCTATCCGAAAGAGAAAGACTTTAAGAACTATTTTCAATAAAGTCATAAAAGCAAGAACTACCAAAACCATTTATGGCCATTTCTTGTATGTCTTTCCTGAGTGAATACTCTCTTAATCCTTTTTTTTGCTTCATATTCTTCGATGATGGTCAAAAGTTCTTTTTGTCTATTTTGCCTCAGGGGATATGTATTATATATTTCGGAAAATTCACCACAAGTTCTGGTTGCCTCTTATTTTTATACAATAGCTGTTGGCCATATTCTCTTTCTGACAAGGAATCATTCATAGCTTCATGCTTTTCGTCATGTTTTGATTTTTTTTCTTTCAAAAATTTATTTAAAGTCTTTTGGTGATTTGCTTTGTCTATTCACTATATCATATTCCTCAGTTCAAAAAATATATGCAAAAAGCATAAGAAAAGAAAAAATAGAAAAGTAAAGTTTAAAGAAGAAGAGCAAAAAAAAATATGGGTTGGAACGAAATAAAACGATAGAGAAAGAGAGAGAGAAAAAAAGAGAGAAAGAGGGAAAGCCTCAAGTGGCCATGTTGGAAAGATTAGATTGGCATCAAATCTTTTTCTTTTTATCAATCAATCTTACTTTTCTACTTGCCACAAGCTCAGCTGTACTGAACTTTTTCAAGTTTTTGCTTTTGAAACATTTTAAAACTTTTTTTTTTCCTTTTTTCCTTCTTGTTTTGTTTTTTTCTTCATTTCTTTATTTTTCTTTCTCTCTTTCAGGCTATCGACATATTCATTTGTTAAACAACGAAGGAGACCCATTAGATAATGCAACTTTATTCGTTCACATTGCCATAACTAACCGTCGAGGTGGTGGCGTGAGTTTTAAGCTTTTTTTCTGTTCTTTAATAATCAATGAGTTTCATTTAAATGGTCTCAGCAATAGCTGTTAATATTTATAAACTTGTTGAACATTAATCATTACACGATTGAAAATGATTTTTGAGGAGAAAAGATTAGAGCGTAATGAAACTTTCTGAAAGTTGACACAGCTTATAAGTGCTCTTGAACTTGAAAGCTTAGTCTGAATGCCCTTTGGCTATTAAGGGCGACTAACTTGCTTAACGTGTAATAGTTCGTACGCTGATTGATGGTAACATCAAGTCTATATTGGATAACTTCTATTTCTGACTGAGAATCCGAGAAAATAGTGAAGTAAAAATGGAAAGAAACAAGAAGAAAAAAAAAGAAAATTGTGAGAGAAGCCAATTGATGATCCGCCTACTTTTCAGAAAGCTAAAAAGCGTGGTATGTCAGTAAAGAGAAGAAACTCTCGAGTGAACACCGGTCAGTCTATTTCCTTCTGCATTTCATATTCATTCATTCACTTTTATAGGAATGAAACTAGTTGGTATTCGAAGTGTTGATGAACAATTCAAATCTGCTGTTGCACCATTAGCTGAAAGTATTAATATGAGGAGTAAGCTGGAAGCAGCTTTGGTAATGAGCCAAATTAATATTATCTTTATCTCTTCTTTTTTCTTATTTAGGTTAATTGGCAAGAAGAATGTGGCTTAGGACCAGCAGGAACAATTCGCCAGGGTATTCGCCTCATTCATTCTCGCATGATAACTCTGGCAGCTAATGGTAAACATAAAATTATATATTTTTTAGTATTTTTTAACAAAAAATTATTTTTTTCCAGCTTCTCCTCCTCCATCACCATCTAACAGTGGTGAAGCTCGCAATAATGACTATGTTATTCCATCATTCTATATTGATTCTGATAATCGAAATGTAATAATTATATTTTAAAATGAATTACTCATATTCATTTTTTTTTCTTTGCAGTTCCCTGTTATTGTAGTGAATGGACAGCTACCGGAACAACTGCAAAGAACTTTCCAAAAATTGAAAATTCTCATTTCCCACAGCGTGACGACATTAGAATTGGCTGATTCGTTACTAGCAAAAGTAAGATTTAAACATTCTCATTCTATTTTCAAATCAATTTTTGGCATATTTTTGTGACAACAAAAACAAATAGATCAAAAAGAAGAAACAAAGTTTAATTGATAATTTTTTGTGAGTGTTATTGATGCTCTGTGGGTTAGTAGATCAGTACATAGTTAGTTTGATGATATTTTATGTCTTTCCTTAAAGTCTAAAGCTCATCTATTCTCATGAGAGATTGAAAGAATAGAAAGGCCCTGTAGTGGACATGAAGCATAGAGGATAGAGAATATGTTTTAAAGAGAAACCAAAACATCGCCTAAATTTCTTTTTTTCCTTTTTTCAACTATCGTCTCGTTGGCTGAGGAAAAAAAAAGCTTCGAGAACTGAAGGACGAATATACTGAATGATGAGCAAATCAGATGCACAAAAACATTGACATTGATAGACCTCGTTTAGCTCAAATCCCATGAGACATATAATACACGTCTGAGCATTTATTAAGAGTTTTTTTTTGATATCCCTTTTGGAGATGAAGAATCGTATACTATTATCTACTTTCAGATAGAGGAATCCATTCAGCGTATATCTAACAGTCATGATGAATTAACCTCATTGTGCCAAGAAACTGGAATCAAAGGACAAAAGGCTACAAGAGCTGCTGAAAACTTTACATGGAATTTACGGTAATGCTTTCCATCTAAACATTCGTTGCAATGACAATCGTCTGAAGACTTTACAAAGATTCTCAGAAAACACACACACAGAACAGTTGCATTCCAATTCAAATAAGATTTATGTTTTAGACTGCTCAAAGCACAACTTAATCTGATGAGCAAGAGTCAAGATGAAGCACAAGATATAATAACTCAAGTATGCCTATTATTACTTTTTGTATTTTATAACTTTTTCTTCGTCTTATAGGTTTTTGATACAGGGGGTGTGCTTGGTATTCTATCTGATAAACTAATGACTCGTAGAAATGGCAGTCGACGATTTTCTCGCGTCGTACTTGATCCTAATAAGGACTGTGTTCTTTAATACCTCTTGTACTATAAAAACGTTGAGCTTAAATGCATTTATTGCTTTAAATATATAAACTCTAATGCCACATTTCTTTATTTCTTTCGTTCTCTTCATCTCTCTCTCTCTCTCTCTCTATCTCTCTCTATATGTCTGAATAATTGGTTATATAACTTCTATATAGCTGATTATGATGACCATTTAAAGAAGAATGATCATCTTGTATGCATTGCCAATCCGTATTAATGTCTCTTATCATTGTGGGGCTTTGTCAAAATTGACCCGATTTGTTTAATTTCTTTCTTTATTATTTTTTATTTTTATTATTATAATAATTGTCTTATGGGATATAATCATTTTATTATGTTATCATTGACTTTAAGTCTAAAAATAATAATTTTTATTCTTTTTTACACATTTCTAATAAACATTTTTATTTTTCAATTCTTTTATTATATTATATGTATATAGTTAAAGATTATTGATATTTAAGTTCGTTCATTTGTTTGTTGCTGGATGTGATGGTAATCCTGTCTTCAAACTGTTTAACTAATCTCATCACATACTTTACCAGTTTTGACGACGACTGCCGCAACCATCTAGTAGACAAATCTATTATTCGATGTAATGTGTCTTTTTTGTATATTATTTTATATTATATTGTTGTTTCTTTAAATATTTCATGAACATGATAATCTTGATGCTCTCTTCTGCTTCTTCTTCTTCGTACAGCTAATTGATTAGGATGAATACGATGATTGATCAAGCTAAATCTTGGAAAGAACAGAAAATACTTCAAGTACAACATGCTCTCAATGAAATTCATTCGTTCGTACAAGTTATTGAACATCGAATAGATACGGTAGTTTGTATAAGATCATCAGTTAATATATATCTCATTCATCTATTCATTTAGCTGAATGATAGAATTATTATGTTATGTTCAATAGAAAGCTATGTATCAGCTCGTGGATTAATAAAAGAAAAATGGAGAAGAGCATGTCAACTTCAAAGCTTACAATTAACAATTGAAGCTCTTATGCAAGCTGTAATTATTTTATTTATTCAAAAAACATACACACACAAATATATATAATATATTTAAGAAAATGCTATTGGAGATGGATAAGTGTCGAATAGACTATTTGGATCCAGTGAATGAGATAACAAGTCGATTGCAATGTAGTTTGATGTTACTATTCGAGGATAATGTACGTTGCAACATCTCTACATATCCATTTCGCATGTTATAGGTCTCCGGCAGACGTGGTTAGACCATTTGCATCACATCTTATATTATTTCTATTTTTGTATTTTTATTTATTTATTTATTTTTTAACTATTTCGTACTTTCAGTGCTTCATTGAATAACCATTGTTGTCCTTTTTGTTTCTTTTTTGTTTTTGGTTGAAAAGCTGTTAGAGAAGCTCTGCTTTGCCTATTGTCTCAGGTGTGTATGAATTTAACAAAAGAATTTACATTTTGCATGTTTTCAGTTTTATTCAACTCAAATAGATTGTTAGACATGAATGAACTAATGCATCGATTGATGATTCTCACCGCTGATTACTCAGTCAGACAATCCATTCATAGAAGTTAGTTTATTTTCTGTTATTTTGATTTATTTACTCATGAACTTTGTGTATGTTGTTTGGACTTTAACATTCGGTTACTACCACTAGCTCATATGAAGGATGTTCTTCATCTTCAGTATTCACCTTGTACTTACTCTTCATTCAATGGAAGACACCAAAAAAAGATATTTGTGGTCATAGAGGGAGGAGAAGCAAAAGAGTATTATGATACAGCTATTGCTCTATATCTTCATCCTGTAACACTTTGCGAGAATGAAAATAGCCTTTGTAAGCGATATTGTATAGCCTGAAGCAGTAAGCAACGAGATTTTTTTTTGTCTTAAAATTAAATAATTTCCTTTGAAAGAGTGAATGAGACGAGATGAATGAAGGAAAGTTGGTTGTTTACTTGAATGGTCATTTATACTAAGTTTTATATGAAAATATTCTGATTATTGTTCAACATTATTCTCAGAAAAGTTCATTTGGATGTTTGAAGTCATAGGAAAGAGGAGAAGAAGGAATCCCAAATGAGATTTTGAAAGACGAAGTTACCTGGATGTTCGTCATTTCGCTTTGACGCTTCATGATGTAAGTGAGGAAAGAGAGAGAAAGCTTATAAAAGGAAGGAGATGTGAGAAGTGTAACAAGAGAAAATTGAAATGAGATGATGTTCATGAAGAGATACTTACAAAGGTAGCAATGTTATAGAGAGGGAAGATTCATGCAAGAGTGTATGAAGGAGAGCGAGAGAGAGAAGAAGCAAGTGGTTGAAGTGAAAGAGAGAGAGTGATTCTACGGCTTCTTCTTTCTCAATTGTAGATTATTTCAATTGTTTTTATGAAAAACTTTTTTTCTGTCTTCATCTAAAAGGATTAATCAGATTAGCATAAATGATTCGATTAAGAATAGAAGAGAAGCATTTAATGTTATTTTAAACTTTTTTTTTATTTAGCGCCATGAAGAAAACGAAAATGAATTAAACAGCAATTTTAACCAAATAATCGAATGGATTGTGTTTTGTTATCGTTTTCTTTAACATTGTTAGGCCAATGTTATAAATGGAAATTGGGAGTCACAACCTCTCTTTCCTTCTCATCATCTCTTCCATGACATCTTTCTCTTCTTGCTCACCCTCCCACCACCCCGCCACCCATTTTGGTTCGCATCAGATTCGTTGCAAACAGCTGAAAGTTAATAATTTGTAGTTTTTGATGTCGTCGTCGTCATCCTCTTCTTCTTCGTCTTCTGTTCTTCAAAGCTATTTTCGTCTGTCGGCTTTTACGTTTTCGAATTAGAATTTCGAGAAATATCAACGATATGATCATTGAGGCATGGAACAGTTAACTATAATAGAATAGTTTATATGTTAGTTATATATTCTTCCTTCCTGCTTTCTGCCTTTCTTTCTGGCGAGTCTCACTTCTGTTTCTCATTCTCTCAGTATGTTCCATTCATTCTCTCTCTACCTCTACCTCTCTCTCTATATATATATCTATGAATATATGTATATTCATCTCTTTCCCTCTATCTTTTCAGCTTTTTTTCCGAATGATGATCAATCATTTCATGCTGACTTAATGAGCGTTTACTCTTTCATGAAATATATTATAATGACAAAATATTTTGAAGTGAAAGAAATCTCTCAGTTGAAATTATGAAGTCTTCACCTTCTAGGTTAAGCCGGGGCTTGCTTATCTCCATTTTCTCGCATTCTCATCTCATTCTTCTCTAACATATTCACACTCTCTCTCTCTCTCTCATTGCTTCATTTTGTATTTCTTTTCTACTTTTCATTCCCATCTATGCGTTTGACTTCATCAGGTAGGCGTGGTTTACGTTGACGTCGTGAGCCAGCTCTATCTCCGCCCATTTAGCTGCTCAGCTTTTCTAGGCCTCCATGAGAGATGTGCTGTATATTAGTTAGTAAGGCAGTCCATGTTTATATATTTTAATGTCTCATCGTTTATTTTAGTGAAAGAAACAAAAAAAATCTTTGTTGTATTTTTCTTTCTTCATTCTAATCCTGAGAATGAATTGTGACAAACTTGAGAGAGATGTGCAGCCCTTCTGTGCTTCACGGTCTCTGCAAGTTAGAGTTGGAATGGAAAAGAAAAAAAAAGTTTTCCTTTCTTTTCACTTCCAACGACAACGTGAACAAATAAACAAAAAAATTTCTTTTTTGTCTTTTTTACTAAGTTTTCTTGTTGAGAAATTGCTTTTCTTTGTTCTTTCATGAAAAGATAGTTTTGGAATTTTTAATTGTGAGTAAGGAAGGATATCACTCCCTTCCCTTCAGCTCAGCTCTTCTTCTTCATCATTTTCTCTTTCTATCTCTATCCCTCTCTCTCTCTTCATCTCGTTTCCCTCCTAACCTTAACCTCTTTGACCGCTTTTCTTATCATTCAACTATCGCTTGAGGATATCTATTGAGTGTCTGTATGCGATTGTTTGTCATTTTCTTTTTTTTTGAAAGCAGATTATGAAGAAAGGCAACAAGCTCGAGTTCTTCATATTCATTGGCCTTTTTTCTTTTTAAGCTTATTAGGTTATGTTGCTCAGCTGAACCCCCCACATCTCTTATTTCCATCCTTTCCCTCTATATCTCCCTCTATGTATATCATCCGTCTTCTTTAACTTTCCTTTTTCTACTTCGTAGTTTCCTCTGAACAAGAACAATGAAGAAAAAAATTTTCCTTCTAAGAAGTTTATCAGATCAATGAGGATAATACGAGAATAAGAATATAGTTGATTATGTGATTAATCTCATCCCTCCATATATAGCCAGCAATCTAGCTATACAAAATGACTTGATGACGATGTTGTCAATGGTCGTCGTAGACATTCTTTTAGGCTCTTCTGAATATGGAGGGATGATGATTCAAATCGTGAGAATCTCAGTTGTTTGTGTTCCAAAAAAGGACATTAATATTCATATTTGGTTCTTCTTATGGTTACGATTGAATCGAAGAAGCCAAAATATAAGACATCATTGCATCGAAGTCTTTTTCTCTCTCTCTCTCCCTCTCGGTGTTGTTAGACAAAGATAGATAGAGGGAATGAGAGCAGATGCTTAGACTACTGGCTCGTTTTGACTCTTGAAAAAGTGAGATAAATATATAATTTTGGAGATTACCTATATAGTTATGGTTCACTATATGGTTAGCTCAGTTAACCTTCTTCACAAACATGTCCTCTCCATAATCATTTTCTATTTCTCATCTTCGTTGATGCTTTCGTTCATATTCTCTCTCTCTCTCTCTCTCTCTCTGTCCGCTTTTCATCAGAAACCTCTACTATAGGAATTTAAAGAAGAAGACATATTCATCCATGATTTTAATTAATTTATATGTTATTATGTGAATTGTTTGTAATTATCTTTCAATTCACGAGAACAACGCGAAGCTCCTCTATCTCCCTTCTTCTCTCTCTCTCTCTCCCTCTCTGTATAGTCTTCAGGAAAGACTGAAGAAAGAAATTTTTTAATTTGAATGAAATCCTTGTGAAAAAAAAGTGAGAAAAGAAAAAGAAATAAATAAAGAAGTAAAGAGAAAGAAGAAAAAGTAAAAAATAAATTATGAATTGGCAGTTATCTCTCGGAACAAAACCCATCTGCCTCACAATACCTTCTTCAAGTCCAAAATCCTCAAGACTCAAAACAAGCAACTGCAAATTGGTGATGAAGTAAAGAAAGTAGAAAGAGAGAGAGATGAAGAGAGGGAGAGAGAAAGAGAAAGAAAGAGAAAGAAAGTGAGATAGAGGAAGGAGAGGTATAGTCAGAGTAACGAAGGAGATAAATGAGAATGGAAAAAGGAAAATATGATTTTTATACCCAGAAATGAATATAAAATTGAATGAATTAAGGTTCTTATTCATTCATTTCGCTCTGCGACAGATTATTTCCATGCTTTTTTACCTTTTATGTACTTAACTCAATACTCTTCTTATAATTCAGCTTTTCCCACTTCAAGCTTTTCTCTTTCTCTCATTCTCTCTATTACGCTTACGTTCTTTCACTCTGACTTGTCTGCTTGTGTTCTCCATGCTCTCGACCCGGATCAGACCTCTATATGGCTGCCAGTGTGACTTTGGGCTTGGCTATCGTGCTGATCCTCCCAAAGACGAAGCCTTTCTTCAAATTTTTATAAAAATAAAAGAAAAAAAAAAGAATTTTGTGTGTTTATACAAGTTAGTTATATACATTTCTATCAATATTCAAGCTCTCCTCCCTCTCCCACTCCCAAAAAGGTCATTGTGATTGTTTTCTTATTGTTCATTCTCAGCTGCATGTTCGTGGAAGAATTTCATTTTTGCATTCTGGTGACTGAAGCTCTTAATATTTGAAATATTTGAAGATGAGAATTGTGTCCTTAAATGTATTTCATCTATAAATAAATAAATAATAAAAGAAGGAGATCATTGTCATTTATGCATTTGCTTCCTTTTTTCGTTAGCTTTTCTCATCCTCTTTGCTCCCTCCCATCCCTCTTATTCCATCTTTTCCTCTCCCTATGTATCTCTCTTGCTCTCAATTCAAGCTCTCTCTCTTGCTCTCTCTATCCCTTTCTCTCTGAGCTTTTGGACTTTTTCTTGAACTGTTTGCTTTTTAGTTTCAAAACAGCAAGCTATGTAGAAACAATAATTTTGTATGTTAAAATGATGTTTCAATTTCTCTGTGTTGCAGAATCGCCTTTGTTGACGATGTGATGAGGTTGCTGGCTGCGACGGATTTGTTAAAGAAATGCTTCTTTCTTTTCATTCTCATTTCATCAGCTAGCCAAGCTTTAATGGAAGATTTATCGTTCAATCATAAATCTGTGTGTTTTAGGTGAGTTCATAACTACTACGTCGGATATACTTGTTGAACTCATATTGATGATGGTCATAGTTAAATTGAAAGAAGTGCTTGAAAGGATGATAAGCTCTCACCCTTTTTCTCGTTTTTAAAATAAAAGTGTGTGTATGTGTATATTGGAAAATGAGAGAAAGAGAAGCTGAGATTTGAAAAGATGAAAAGCCTTGTATGTAAGCAGCTTCTTATGCCTTGTTATAAATAATTTACAAAGAAAATATAACATTGGGCTACGTGAAAATCGAGTCAAAAGATCTTTCTGCTGACCATCCCATCTTTTCGTTTCCATATATACTCACTCTCACTGTGTGTTAGCTCTTCGTCAAAGCATAATCGAATGAAAGTATAATGTAAATAAGAAAATGAACTAATTACCGAAAAATGCTAATTTTTGTACTTGTGCATGCTGTTTACAAATTTACACGTGAAAAATGCGTCGGATTGTTCCTGCTCAACAATTTCATTTTCAAAATATTGAACTCGGTGATCGGTTGTGCTAAGCTTCGTCCTTATTACAGTATTTTGTACTTTGACCTACTTTTAACGAGTTTTTTTTTCCATTATTATATTGTTAGATATAGTAATTATATGTCCAAAGTCATATGCTCACTTATTACAGTTGCGCTTCATTTGCATATCTGCCGTTATGGAACCGATTGATGCATCACTACTTTCCACCCAAAAACTTCACTGATAGATGCTGGCAGCCGGATACAGGTAATGAAAGAGAACAGCTTTGTTTTATGATCGAAGACAACAATTTTCGTGTTTCAGGTATTGGAGTGGTTCAATGCTCTTCAGCCTGCTTCACACTAGTCGAACAAATTGATCAGAATGACTGTGAGTTAACTTTCTTTAATTAGTTCAATGCGTGTCAATGAGTTAATGATGATCTGATAATTAGTGAAGCTAATAACTATAGCTTCTCCCTTTTATGTACTTTAACTTCAGCTTCAGCTGATAGTTTTATGAGCTTTACGAGCTTCAAACTCATTTCAATTAAGTATTTGACTTGTCACCCCACGTAGCTTTCAACCAAATAACATAGAGCTGACTGCTCATTGGTGTTAGAGCGTTGCGATTGAAATTAATTTATGAAATTACTATTTGGCCGTCGATTATTGAGTTATATCGATTTGAGCTGATTAGCTAATTACGCTCGTATGGACAGGTGCAACTCGGAGAACGAGAATGAAACTTTATCCCCTCGGAAATCAATTTAATTGAAAATTCAGAAGGAACTGCCGATCGTTTCACTTCTCTCTCCCTCTCAACACTTTCTTTCTCTCCTCTCTCTCTCTCTCTTTCTTCAGAGAAAGACAGAAAAGGGATGATTTTCATATATTTATGAGGAATTGCTGAAAGAGAATGTGACATGCAAATAGAATGAGAATATATGAAAATAAAATTGACAGAGTACAGAAAACAAAAAAATGAATTCTTTTCATTTTTTTTCTCACTAACTTCGTCTTTCTATTCTCTACCCAACTGGCTCTCTGTCTCGTTTAGCTACAAGGGGGGTGGGAGCATGGTAGTAGAGAGGAAGAAGTCAGAAGTTGAAGACAAAGAATTTGAAATAATTGAATTTCAGTTGAACTTTTTGAAATAATTGCGAGTGTAGTTGAGGGGGATCAATATCTAAATGTAATTTTGTATTTGAAATTTTGATGTTTCAATTTTACAAATTTTTTATTCATTCCACCCAGAATAGTTTTATGTGATTTTGGAGTTTTCAAGTTAGTAACAGTACGGATGAACTACTATGACAGGAAATGTCTGTTGATGATAAAGATAGCAGTGAAGCCAAAGCCCTCAATGTGCTCTTAATCAAGATGTTGCCAAGAATGTGTTATGTGATTTCATTCAATGAAGCCATCATATCATAGTGTTCGTGCAGATGTCACTGCTTGACTTCCAATAACCTTATGTGAGTGTTCGTGAGTTTGAAAAAAACAACAAACAAACATAACTCTCATATTTGATAATTTCCTACATTTATAATTATAAAAGGAAATGAGAAAGCAACATGATATGATGAAAATTGTTGAGCTTCTTGACTTCTTTCATACTATATTGCATATATAGACATTTAACTATACGCGTAGTAACCTGAGATCGATTGCCAGCGCACTTGTTTGCCAAAGCATTTTCCTCATTTACACTTTTGAGAAGTTTATATGGATGAGAACGATGAGGTATTAGATGAAGAATCAGCTATGACAAATTAAATTCTGAAGAGTGTTGATGTGCTTAACATCTATCACCCGTTTATATGGTGTGTGTGTGTGTTTCCTATTTGTACCTACAGCTGGGATAGCACGATGTGGCTTTTCGCATCATCAATTCCCATGGAGTTTAATTTGTGTTTGAGTTTGATGACCAAAAAAGAGAAATTGAGAAAGTGTGGTTGAGCAGGCGACGACGAGAACGACGAAAAGTATTCTCTCACTAATCATCTTGCTATACTCTGCTAAACTCTCTTTAATCAATGGTTGATTGATAATGCATTTCTATGAAAACAAACTTCGTTTGCTCTGTTTCATGAACTACTTTCTGTTTCTATTAACCATATGCTATAAGTTAATATATCAAAGACAAGAGATTTATTGGCAATGTTGATGTCTTTTTTGGTAGACATTTAACGAATTTGATTGCACATAAAGCTTTTACATGCCCTCTGGGCAATATCGTTAAGGTGGATAAGATATTGCTCATGAAAAGCACGAAATCTCATGAATAACTTGGAGTTGAAAAAGAGAGAGAGAGAAAAACAATAAGAGAGAGAGAAATAGAGAGAGAGGGATGTATTGAAGAGAGATGGAGAGATGGAGAGAAATACGGTGGAGAGCAATAGAATGAGCTTGATCTGTCTAGTGAAACTGGGAAAAATGAAGTGAAGTATGGGGGAACAAATGGCAACGTAACATAGTTTCAAGATTCTATTCTTTTCAGATTCTCCATCAGCCGAATATCATGGAGTTCTTCGAGGATGTGTAGATCGACTTCTACTCTTCGGACTCGACGATGACGTTCGCAATGTCCTGACTCAACCATATCCACAAAGAATTTGTCGTCAAACTGATCGAAAACTTTTGCGACTTCAGCCACTTTCAGAAGAAAGTGAATTGGTTTGTTTTGCTTTCTATTAACTATACATATACACGTATAACTATATAGTTATGCATGAAGAGCATTAGAGATTCATATTCTTAATCAACTTTGCATTTGATTTTTCATATATTTCGGCATAATTTATGCAAGTTAGATGGCCATTTTATGCTTTAAAATAGTTTTATTTTATATGCATTCTACCACTCTCTGTAGCTTTTCCTTCCAAGATGCTGACCTTCTCGTATACGACAAGGGGGGGGGGGTTAAAAGGTCCATCCACCTGGCTAGCTTCTCTTTCTCTCATTCTCTTATATTCCTTATAAATTATTCTCCTTTTCTCAGATTATCGGAATAATATTAAAGAAAATGATAGCCTGACTCTTACCTAACCCCATAATTTCAATTTTATCTGAAACGACCCAAGATGAAGGTAATTGATTGTCACGAACGTCCTCTCTCTTCTTCTCATTTAACCTATGACAAGCATGTTCTTCATTCTGTTGTTCCAGGGGAACAACAATTGGCTAGCAAAAGTATATATACATATCTAGTAAAAATCATGTTTTTCAAAAGAATGGCAATGCGCTCATTTTGTTCTCAAATTTCATAAAAACTCACTTCCGCTCCTTAAAATGATGAAAATATGATGTTGTAGCCATCAAATCTCAATAACGTCTCACCACACATCATTTATGCGGCGGAGGAAGGATCAAAAGAAGATTTCGTTGAATTTCTGTATTTTGGACACAATTCTAATTCATTTTTGATTTTCGTATCGAATTCGCGTCAAAAACTTTTCCATCCAAGTCCCAATAAGGAAGAGGAAAAGCAATTCGTTGACAGGTGTATGAGAGCGGGAAGGTAGAGAGGTGGGGAAACAACGGGAGATGTAGGCATGAAAAGCATTGTAGCTATAAGATATGATGTCATTTTTGTATTTTCAGGTAACGTTTTGCTCATGTACCGGAGATCACTGTAATGATCAAGATATGTTGTTAGCCATCAATTCCTCAAGGAAATCATTCTTATGCGGTCTTTCATCACTTTTTTTGATTATTTTCTATTTTCATATGTGATTTGGAAACAAAAAAGAAGAAATTAAACGTGTCATTTCTATTTTACAAAAGAAAAAAAGAAAAAAAAAGAAATTTTTGATATGTTTGTGATAATTAAAAACTTTTTTTTTGTTTGCTTTCAGCTTTACTTTAGAAGTAAAAAGTATTTTTTTCATATCTATATATATAAGAATATATATATGGTACATATATGGTATTGATTAATTGTAAATTTTTATTTAGTTTATATATGAACTGAGATTAAACACTACTCACACATACACATACTACACAAACTACACACACTAGTAGTTCAGTACAATCTGTTTAGAACCATATATGAACGATTACAAATATTTTGTTTTTTCTTTTCTTCCTCATATGCAAAAGGAAATGAATATGATGGTCCAATTTGCCATTTGGATGTTAGCCATTTGCTTTAAGTATTCAGTTACACAGGATCATCTATGGCGGTCTGCGCAATGAGCAAAAATGCTTTTGCTCTATTCACATTCATGTCTCTCATTCGCGTTCAAATGACATACAATATTTGAAGATGTAAGCTAAAACATAATGAACGCGTCGAAGTTAGCAATGGATTGCCAAGTTCATACAAATAGAGTAATGAATAAGAGCACAAATGCTTAATAAATTGCTTTTCTTTATGAACATTTTTCATTTTAACAAGTAATGGACAGTCAGTTAAAGGAATTTAAAAACGATGCGTCCTGAGACGAATGCGGGAACAAGCAACAATATGCTAATTAGTTATTAGCGTAAAACAGCTCAATGACAGTTAAATCATTTTGATGTTATGTGGACGTGCAGTACGGTTGATGATTATGAAACAGTTCTCGGGTAAGTGCTCCATTTCCATTTTCATTAGCTTATTACTTTTTTGAAAATTTATAAAATGTTATAATTTATGGTAAATTTGATTCATCTCAACTTGACGAAGTAAGTCGAGTTCATGCATTGCTTAGTGCGCTATTTCGGTAGATCTTTTGTAGATATTATATTCAGCGTTACGTTGAAAGACAGCTAAGCCTAGCAGCTGTCCATAATGTCATTAGGCAGAAAGGTAATAGATGTTGGAACTGGACTGACAAACTCGAAATAGAAACGAAACTGCTCCTAACTAGGGAGCAAACATGTGAACAGGGACATAAAGCCAACCAGGATCAATTGTGAACGTATGTGACGAACAGTTTTTTTCCTTTTTTTGATTTAGAAAAGCCTCAATCATTCATATTTGCGACGAGTGTTGTCGAGAATAAGACAGATGTTCTTTCTCGGATCATAGGTTTTGAATGTTTCATTCAAAGGTTTGCAAGTGATGGATATGGTTGACTGAAGATAAAATGAATGATTTTCATTTGGATCTCATGGAATAATGAAAAAAGAATGGTTAGTTCTCTTACATACATGCACCCATGTGCTTCCAAAGCCATGAAAGGGAAATTTAAATATTTTTATATGAATGAACTTCGTTCCCGGAGGAGTGTTTTCCATATTTCAAAAATCTCATGCATTGATTGTTCATTTTCAAACTCCAACACACGATGTTTCTGCATCGGCTCAAAGCCAGAATAATAGATAAGAACATACAAAGTAATGATTTGTTATATAATTGTTTAGGAGCATAACGAGAACATACCCGTCCTTCTGTTTAAGAAAGGAGGTTCGAAATTATAAGAAACATAAGGCTTGCACATACGCTGTTTGAAAGATAACTTGTTGAGGTTGGTTCCAATTCAATCACCGGATTACAGAGTTTATCAACAGCTTTACTAGAATTCCACATTCTGTCGTAGTTTTCAACTGTCTGATTTGAAACTTCCGAACACTTCCTGGGAGGCTGAAACAGTTTCTGATGAGCTATCGTCAAGTTCAGTGATGTTCTTACTGTGCTTTCCTGACAGTACGGGTCGCAAAAATGACACAACGTTATATCACATTGAATGTAGATATTCTTCATTCCAACCTCCCTCACTGTTAACCATCCAATAGATATTGCTCTTTGAAATGACAAATAAGAAGGCGTCCGTAGTAAGGCAGATTCTGTTGTGCATCTATAGAGCAGTAAGAGTAAGTTATTTCCCGTTTTTCTCGCTTTTACCCATTAGATCGTATGAGGTAGACGGGATTCTTCGTTGTTCCAATCCAACAGTTGCTTATTTTCATAGCATGATCAACTAAAAACCTTTTTTGATTCGAAACTAAGTTTGCTGAACATACGAGCATTGCATCGCCATTGGAAGCATACTTTTGTCGACCATGAAATTGTATCATTGAAACTGATTGAAGGGCCAGTGCATGTATTTCTAGTATTCAAATGAGGAGGATTTGGAAATGATAGCCTTACTTATGAACGGTAAGACGACACACAGGGTGTCCTACCAGCTCTGTACTATTGATGTCTATTCGAAGAGGAAGAATACGAACTCCGACTGTGCTTTTGAGCAATTCTAGATATTCATCACATTTCACCTAAAAGATAGATTATATTGTGATGAAAGAAATCGATTCAGATGTTTATCAGTCACTTACAATAACGAAAAGTATAAGCAATATAGATGATTTCATTGCATTCCTATGAATCAGTGGAGAAAGGAGCCAAACCCTGGATGGAAAGTTGGATCTGTTAGGACGGTTTGAGAAAAAAAACAATTTGAATAAGGAAAAAGCTGAAGTAAAGAAAAGTGAAGGACATGAGAATGTTGCAGTGTCCATATATGAAGAAGGAAGGATATAAATCAAAGTGACAGAGCATTTCAAACTTTATCTCTTGGGAGCGTTTTGAGCCAGAAACAGACTACCCAATATTGTCTATTTGTTTCAGCCAAGTAAACGATCTTCATAATTATAAAGAGGCAGATTCGGATAGAAGCTGGTATGTTAAGTTGTGAATACGAGGATCGGTGTACATTGAAGAACAGAGAAGGAGATGAACATACGCTTCTTAGGGATGAACTAAGCTCATGCATGTCCTTGTGGTCATGACTTCGACGCTTCTCTGTCGTATCGCACAATTCATTCACCAAATGAGCCATAACATATCCATTTAACGATCTAAACCTTGCTCTACTATGATCTTAAGCGTTTAGTTTTATGCTTTATGACTAATTAGTCAAAACAATGTAATTAACTCAATAAATAAAACATTCGTGGAAACATTCACTGAGTCACTCTTGTTTTTCTATGTTTCCCTTCGTCATTCAACGAAACTGACCATTATGACTTCAAAATAGAAAATGATTTTTGATTTTCCGGCTAGACAGATTAACACCATCTGATTGGGTACACCAAATAGGTACCGTTCCACCAGTCTGATTCAAGATATACAGAAGCTATCTTATAAACCAATGACAAGGCCGTGAAAATGAATAAATAGTTTTATCCCTACTGTTTCTTACTGTTTAGACTATACATTTCACACAAAACCTTTACATCGAGTCATTGGGATATACCATTGCCTAAATCATGAACAAAATACAATGAAGCTACCTCATATGGAAATAATACAGTAGGAAAAAATAACAAATAGTTATACCGGTACCGTTCCTCACTGACCATGCTAACGAATATATTTCCGACCACTGCCTCGAAGCGATACCCCCGCCGTATTCGTCAATTTACTCATCTTCCTCCATATTACTCTTTATCAATGATCACAACCGACTACTCTGACTCCAAAATAGAAAATGATCTCCAATCTGCACGTGAAAGTGCACGTCAGCCTATTCCAATTTTCAACAAGAGGTCGTTTACATTATAACTGAAGAGATTGATTCTTTGGCCCCCACTTCGCCGATCGAGAATTAGAGCTTCAGAAGTTCTAGAAAGAGGAGAATGTATATTTAGCTAAAGTAGTTTTGATTCTTTCTTTCACTCCAAATATAATAACAGATTTATTTTTAGTAACTTTCAAATAATTAAGCAACAGCTTCCAACAGCAATTAAATATCAATTTATAGCTTATAGCTTCGATTGGCTAACAGGTGGAGTCAGCTTCTTCAATTTTCATTCATCATTCGAGTCTTAGTAGTCAATTCTTGAAGTTCTTGCAATTATGGGTTCATGAGGGTTAGCAACGAGAGGCACTATAAAGACGCTAACACGCACATTACGCCATTATGCCATCCAAGCTAAGCGGGTAGAGTGTGCATAGTTTTTACATTTCACAACTTCAAAAATTTGTTTACTTTGTTTCATGAACTTTTCTGTCTCAAAAAATGCTTAGAAATGTATTAGGAACGCTACAGAAACGTGGGTATTCACGTATTCTAACCCCGGGTGGTCAAGTGTTTCCCACGGTCAGTTTCTTCTTGTTTTCGTTCTCAATCAATAATTTTTAGAATTATAGCAAAAAAACCCTGAAAATGCCTTGAAACGCTTTATTGTTGACAAAATCAGAGTAAGTGGACCAATTACTGTTGCTGAGTATATGAAATTATCTGTTGGTTCATCTTCTGTTGGCTATTATGGAGGCTTTGGAACTCAGAAGCCGGTATGCCATTGATTTTCATAGCTGTTTGTTTATTGGTGAATAAGGTTTTTGGCGAAAAAGGAGATTTCATAACGTCACCCGAGCTAACTCAACTATTCGGAGAAATGATCGGCGTTTGGCTGTATTACGAACTGGCAAATACCGGGCATAGAGGTACAGAGTTTCTTTGTTGTTGTTTTGGACTTTTGAGTGCTAGGTCAATGGCAATTAGTGGAATGTGGACCAGGAACAGGTCAACTCATGCTTGACGTAGTGACCTCTCTGAATAAGTTTAATGTAAGACATTCTTTACTTTTTCTTTGGTCATTGTTTAAATTTGAGGAGAAAGATGTTTCAATTCACTTAGTCGAAACATCCGACGCCCTGATTAACGAACAAGAAAAACTTCTTTGTGTTGATAATAGTACAACGATTTACGGTTTGTTTCATGAGTCCGTGTTAAGGCTAAGTTATAGTTTCAGATGATAAGCCTTATGTGAAGAAAAATAAGACCAAGCAAGGCTATCCCATCTTCTGGTATAAGAATGTTGATGACATTCCTGAAAACGTAAGTTGTTTTTAATTGGATGCGTTGATAATTGAATTTGTTTAGTTCACTGTGTTCATCGCCAATGAGTTTCTGGACGCCCTTCCAATCCATCAGTTCAAAAAGAATGAAAATGGAGCTTGGAATGAAATTTATGTTTCCATCGATGAAAACAACGATTTATGTTTCATGAACTCTAAAGGCGAGAATCTACATAGCAGGTTTCGTCGTTTAGAAAGAAGATCTTTCATTTGTAAACAATCTTTTCAGAGGTTTGATATCTGAAGAAGTTCGAGCTCAAGCAAGCAAAACCAACCACGAAATATCACCTGATTCTGGAACGTTTATTAATCAAATTGTCGAAAGGTTTTTTTAAATTGCATTACGTCAATCATCTATATTAACAGAATTGTTCATAATGGTGGTTTTGGATTAATAATTGACTACGGTCATGACGGCGACAGAGAAAACTTCTCATTACGAGCTTATAAGAAGCATGACCAGGTGAGATTCCATTGTTTGCAAAGCTATTCAGTTATTTTGCTTAGGTCCATCCTTTATCCGATCCCGGAAACATTGATATAACGGCAGATGTGGACTTCAAATATTTGAAGGATCTCGTGAGTGATCGAGCTATTACTTTCGGTCCTATCATGCAAAGGTATTTATCTCTTCGACATATTCTCTCATTATCCGTTTTCTCTCTCAGAGAGTTCTTAGCTCAGTTAGGCATTGGTGTTCGTCTCCGTCGACTTCTGCAAATGTGCGATAATCGTACGAAACAAGAGCATTTGATAAGTAACTTACTCTTTCCTTATCGCTTATTTCTATCTTAATTATAGAATCTTACAACTTTTTGATGCAAGAGATGGGAGAGAAGTTCAAAGTTCTCTCCGTATTCCCTAAAACTCTAGAAAGTATCTTAGAAAAGAGAGGAACGCCCGAAGGTTTCTCTTCGACGCGACCAGATTCAAAGAAAGATGAAAAGCAGTAACTTCTCAATTGTTCTTCCTTAGTTTTCTATGAATAAATGTGCGGGTTTTTCCATAAATTTCCTTTCCAAACTGTCCAACGACTGTTTTATATTTGTTGAATTCTCCCTATGTTCCTCTTTAATATTCTGAATTATAGATGCTGCGCAGGAGTAGCTCCGCACCACCCAATCCACAAAATTACAAAGTTAAGGGAGATTATTCATGTGTTCACAACTACGGTTACAGCGAGCCTTCATACTCCAACAGATTCTCAATATCTTCTCATAGTTCGTTGTCCTCCTTGTCTAATTGTAAGTCTCAGAAAAGTGTCTCCAATTGAGTTCCACCTTTACAGATAATCCTAATGAGAGTAATATGCTGAACTGCGGTACCTGCAGACCTTATGATATAACTTCTTTACATCAATACTATACAACTGTTCCACTAATTATTCCGAAACATAATATTAATGCCAAGGTAATACCTCGTTGAACTTTCAAGCTAATTATGCTTGTCTCAGCTCATAAGAATCTATCATATCTCTCGTGATGAGTATTGTGGCGGTGCTGCACCTCGACTAGAGTTAGCAGTTTTGGATTTTTTGTGTCCTTTTCAGGTATTTCTTTACGTTCAATTCTCTTGACTACTTTTTTTTGTAGCTCAGAGAAGAACACAGACCACATGTTGCTCAAGTTGGTTTCAATTTTGAGGTTCGTATGGGGGAGCCTGGAATCGTCTCGGTAGAACAGGTTGACTTTTCAAATGTTTCTTTTTCACCTCTCGAATTTGTCAGATTTGGTTGGCAAGAGCCATGATTGATTACGCCAGTGTTCCATGTAAGGAAGTAGACTATGGTCGAGTATTGAAAGCGATGGGAACTTATAGCGGCCCCTTTTTCAAGTTATTCAAGCCGGTATCACTTTTTTTTCATTTCCTTCATAAGCTTCCGTCCCACCAGGTCTGTTGCATGCACACTGTGTCAATGTTCTTAAATTTGATGAATCTGGATACGAAAGGATATAGAGTTGTGAAGTTTTGTGATATTGGGTCTGAGGGATCTCATACTGAAGCAGAAAGTGATTGTGACACAGAGACAGAAGAGTCAAGGCCTGTGGCAGATGAAGATCCACTTAACTCTCAAGAGGTCAGTCTGATTATCGAAGAGACATATGCTAAACCCATATTTCCAGCGTTCATCCAACAACACGATGAATAGATCTCGTCATTCTAATAAATCTTAGCTAAGATAGCTATCCGAGAATTTTAAAAATTTTAAAAACTTAACTAAGAGTAGCTTGGAAGTTTTAAATGCTGGTGAGTTTAGAATTTCTCTCATCGTCTCATTCTCTCGTTTCCTTTTTCAGTTTTCTCCTCTATTGATAGCAGAATTTCTGTTTTGTTTTGCTTATGTTTGAAGCAAAATGGCGATCTCACAGTCCTATTTTTACGTGTATAATTTTTTTTTCCAAGGTGTTTCATATAGTCTCTATCACTTACGAGTTGTGAAACGATCTCGTTTATAAGGTTTTGCTAATGCTCTGAAACAGTTCTAATAAAGCTTCAATCAGGCTGTGGTTTCCTTCTGTTGCCGAGTCGTTTACTCGATCATATTACCTTTCCTCTTTTTCATAACTATTTTGCATATTTTCGTTCAGAGAGGAGCAGTAAGCAAAGGCTCGCTTCACACTCCAACCATGGTATGTCGTTCTACGTTACTGTTCTTCAATCATCAATTCTTTTACAGCTGGTTCTTGTTATCGGAGACTTTTTTATGCCTCACAGGCAGTCAAATATCCCTTTGAAATTCCGGAAGCTGTTGGTACCGAACAAAATGCAACACATTCTGTGTACAGGAAACCTCTGCACTAGAGAAACAGTAGATTATCTTAGGTTCGCTTGTTCTCGTTTCTCCTATATTTCTGAACACTTCTTATCTTTAGGTCATTGTCTTCCGATGTTCATATAGTTAAAGGTGATTTCGACGATGAGAACCTGAACTATCCGTACACAAAGGTCGTCACCGTTGGTCAATTTCGTATTGGCTTATGCCATGGCCATCAAGTTGTTCCATGGAATAATACAAAGGTAAAATGATTGAAAAGTTTGATATTTACATATTTTTCTAGATGCTTGACCAACTTGCTCGTCAATTGGACGTAGATGTGTTGGTGACAGGGCACTCACATGAGTGTTCTGCGACGGAACGAGGTGGACGCTTCTTCGTTGACCCTGGAAGTGCCACTGGTGCTTTTTCAGTCTTCAAGAATGGGTTAGTTATTGGTTTATTTGCTCTTATACTATCATATATGAATACATATCTCGCGTTTACAGGACAGTAGAACCATCCTTCTCCTTAATGGATGTGCAGTCCGATAATATTGTTATTTATAAATATCGCCTGGTGAATGATGAAGTGAAAGTTGAACGGGCAACATATAAAAAACAGACAGGCCCCGTTTATTAAGTCGACTGTTTGCTAATTTAAGAAAATCGAACATTCCTGAGTTTTATGACGGTGCATTTTGTCTCTTCTGTTTTGCCGATTTTCCGTTTTTTCTGTATTTTTCAAGAAGACAACACACTACCTTGTAGGGATTCTGTGATATTAAAAGAACGTTTCATACCTTTCATAATATAATATATTTGATCTTTCTGTTTCCATTGTTCTTTCTATTCAGTATCCTTACTGACTCATATCTCTTCCGTGTTCTCTTTTCGGTTTTTTATTTCTATTTCAGGCGAATAAATTGTGGTCAGTCAAACTGACATGCTGTTACTCGCAGTATTTCTTATAATACAATCCTTAAGGATACATTCTTCAGGTTCCGTTTCAATCTTTTCTTTTTTAATTTTTTCATTTCAGTTGTTTCTTCTAATGATTTCTTGCCATTAATATTACAATATGATACAAATGAATTAAGTACCAATGATTTTGTACCTTTGGATCCCGAAAGAGTGAAACGGGCTTCCGATCCAGATGATCTTCCTAGTTATACCATTCCTCCTGATTATGAGGTTCAGGAAGACTCGGTTAGTCATTGGTTACATCGACATCTTCATCTCTGTTCATTTCACAGATTGATCATACTTACTACATCAAAAGGTTTTACAATAACACTGGAGATCTAGAGAAACACTTCGTCAACGTCGACGAAATGCTGAAGAAAAAAGGAGTAGTAGGAAACAGCAGTCATCCTCTTCTCTCTGGGAGTTACAGGAGAGCTGTGGTAATGACATTTCTTTCTCTGTTCCATCTTATCTTGATCTTTTCAGGGAGCCAAATTAACATTTTCTTTTCCATTCTACGGCCATTATATGAATAATCTCACAATTGCCACGGGGGGTTTCATTTACATCGGAGATCAAACCCATAATTGGCTTGCTGCTACGCAATACATAGCTCCTTTAATGGCGAACTTCGACACAAATGTCACGGTATTCGAATACTCTTTTACTTGAATGAAACTTTACTTAGGGTTCTAATATCATTTTCGCTGATGATGGTGAGAAGTTCGTGGTCGAGTGGCGAAAAGTTCAACTGCGGGAACAAACTGAAGGCAAGAATAGCATTAAGTTTAAGTTTCTAATTGAGTTTGTAGAAGGTCAATTCACTTTCCAAGCTATTTTACACAAAAATGGAGACATCGTTTATGCCTATAAGGATGTAAGTGTTTCGTTAATTATGCAGCACATAGATTTGCATTTGTAGATTCCCATGGAGCATATCGGAAATATTAGTGATGCTAACCATCCGGTTAAAGTTGGAATTAGCGACGCTTATCTCTTTAAGCACATTGCTCCTATAGGATCTTCAACATGTAACTTTTGCATTCGCTCCTAAGCATTGAAAGCAACCGTTTCAGCGAACCCAAAACGAGTCATTTATGAGTATCATAGAATCGAAATACCTTCTTCCGAAGTAAAATCTGATGTTGTCATATTTTTAGAAGCACAGCCAAGTATGAGAACGCTGCCCTTTATCATTCTACTTTTCTCTTTCAGCATGTATTGGCTTAAAAACATGTGAAAAATGTACAAACACAACTTTAAAATATTTTCATTGCTCCTGGTGTAATGGAGATAGTGGATCTTTCTGTACGGATGAAGCTGGGTACGTTAATGTAATTTTTTGCTTTCAACATTGCTTACTGCAGACTACACCGTCGTCGACAAGATTGGATTGAAGCGAAGTGCCAACTTAATAGTAAGAGCGATGTATGCTCCTCTGATGATTCGGCGAAACTCCGGTAATTTGTCGTTCTTGTGTCGTGAATAGCTGTAATCTTCTTTAGTCCTACCGCTTCTTCCAGAGTTTATGATAACATGGATGCTCCAACGATTGCTAGAAATCGAATGCATAATACAGGTTTGCTATGAGTCTGTGTTTCTGGTGCTGATTCAAAGTTTTCAGTTGAAACGCAAAATAACGGGGTAGCGGGTCTTGTGTTTTTCTTGGGTTTAGCATTGTGTGCCATTGGTTGGGTAACTTATGCCTATTACAATCCTCATACAACAAGTGGTCAATTTTTAATCAAAGTACGTTGAAGAGTCAGTATAGTTGGTTATGACATTGTATTTTCAGTATCGTCCTTCACGCTGGCACGTACCAAATAGTCATGTAAGATATAGCGCCTCTTCTGTGCACATGTAAAATTCCTTTTTTGGAACATTTATAGTACTTTTATTAATTTTTACAAAGATAACTCTTATACTGAATTCATAATGCATAGCTGTACCCGCATAATTCTTCTCATTTTTTACGAGGTTTACATATAATACTGAAACAATCTCAATAGTCGGACCCTTCACTAACTTGTATATTTTCTTTTAATCGTTTTTTTGTTTTTGTTTTATACGGATGTCATACTTTCTCTCTCTCACTCTCTCTCTCACTCACTCTCTCTCTCCTTTTTCTTCTCTCTCTCAATCTTTTTTTATCTCTCTCTCTCTCTTTATCTCTCTCCCTCTATTTCTCATTCTTATTGGAGCTTATTTTCTGAATTTGATACAGTAGCTCAGTACGGTTCATATGTTCTTGTTTAATTATCTAATTTATAGATAAACATCGAACTTACTTTATTCCAACATATATATACAATCAAAAAGTCCACATTTTAACAAATTTGGAATACCCGTCTTCAGAATATCAAGAAAGAAAAAAGAAGAAAGAAGAAGCGAGAAGCCTATATTCTAAGCAAAGCTAACCGGGTTACTGGCTAAGGAGAGATCTAGCAGAGATTTCAATAATCTCTAGATGTAATGTAGAAGAAAACTCAAATATACAGACATGAGAGGTGAAGGTTTGAAATGTTAAAGGATTATCGGGACGGGACTTTCCAGTTTCCTGAGGGAGGTTAACAGAATCTACAAGTCTTTGGGCACAACGTCATCATCATGGAGGCGATGTTAGGAGAGCGGCAACGATCAGCTGACCACCAACAAACTGTTATTTTGTCTTCGCATTCTACTGAAAACAAATAAGAGTACGTGTGCTGTCTTTCAAATGGATCTCAATCATATGAATCAAGAAGCCTACCTCTGCCGGTATGTTGTTTTCCTGAGTTACTATAACCGTCCATATTCCCATAGTAAGCTGATGGAAGCTTTGGTCGATCGTCATATTTGTGAGCTGATGGAGCATAAATAGCTACGCTATGCTGGAATCAAACAATAGTCCAATAACAAAGGTTTTTTTTCAAATTTACTTGAGCCCTTGCGAATGGAGCAGTCAATTCTTTCCGGTCGCAGCTGTACATTCTGTTAATTTTAGCTAAGTCAACATCCGAAAAATCTTTTGCGTTTCCAATAGCTGCTGCTGAAAGAGGATAATCTGTGATGAGTGAGTCGGTTTTGAGAACTACATTTCTGTTTCGGTAACATGGTTGGAAAACCATTCTTGCTGAAAGCCAAGCTATCATAATGCAAGATAGATTTGTAATCATAAGGCTGTCCGTAATATGAGGTCTTGCTCAAATCAACTTTTCCGAATTGATCCAGGGCTCCTGGAAAGTGGAAGTTCAGAAATTATGACGAAGATGAATGCAGACCTCTATCAATGTTTTGCCAGATGATGTCAATGAAATTATCTCGATCCCATCGTTCTTTAAAAAGACATGAGATTAGGAAAACGAAGTTTTGAAGAATTATGTGTACGAACCATGTTCATGATAGAAACCGACGACATGCATCATTTCATGAATGATTGTTGCGTATTCCATGCATCCGTTGTCTAAGGAAAGAACTTGAACGCCTGATGTTCTTCCAACTTCCGAGAAGCATCTGGAATTATGATAATGTCAGTTATGTCATAACCGGAAAGGTAAGCTAGTTCTTTGAGCATTTTCACTCACCCGTCAACTTTTCCGATGAACAGATAGTCGGATTCCCCAGCTGCACGTGGTACAAATCGAATACACGTCTTTTCATGATACTGTAAAAGGAAAAGATAAACTCGTTTCGATGCATCCAATGATTTATTAAAAGATCCATTGAGAGAGGGAAAGCAAGAGAGGGAGTAAGAAGCAGACAGCAAGAACAAAAAAACACGAACCTGCTTTACAGCTTTTGCTAACAAAGCTCTCTCATGAGGAGAATAATGAGGTGAAATTGCATAGGGAATTCGAGCATTTGGCCAGAGCTTTGCCGCCCGCGAGACTCCATTTCTCTATAATAGGTAGATTTAATAATCATCTACGTCTCATAATGTCTGTCTTCTTAGTCAATATCGTCAGATAGCAACAAATCATACAAAGTGTACCAACCTTATGACGGCGGTGCGGCCCTCTTATATCCGTCTTGTAATCGTTAACTACTTCAACTGGTATGTGCTTGCCGAAGATCTCATCTGAAATACACTTAGTTCCAGATGATCATGCGATCAATGTTACATTGACGAAAAGGGGAAGACCGTTTGTTAGCTTGTCGGCTTGCTCGAAGTCCGAATCCTCTAAGAATGCCAGCTCTGGTCCACTACCATACACGACGAATCCTGTAAGTGTTTCATTTAGTTTCTAACTGCATGTTGTGTTATCAATTCTCATGGACTACACTAACACTCAAGGACTTGCACACAGCAAAAAGTACATTAACTTTACTTTGAAAGTACTATTTGATAAAAGTGGTATTAGCGAGCTACATTTTATAGAATTTCAATTGCATCGGTTGAATTCGAATAGCGTACTCATTCCGTAACACTCGCACATTCATAGCGAATCTGCGTTTCTGCGCGCTTTGGTAGTGCTTATGCCCTTTCAAGCAGTTTTCATTCTTCTTGTCTTGAAATCTGAGTGCGATTGTTGTTCGCCATCTTCACTCGCAAGCTTTACACTCTGGATAGAACTGTGGAGAACTGTTTTATACTTTCATTTCCGAGATTTTTTTTTTGGAAACAATGGCTACGAACTTTTTTCATTTCCGAGTTTCTCACTCTTTGTGAGCGGTCGTGCTCGCTGATTCGATTTCGTTTCTGGGGTTCTCACGCTCTGTTAAACGGTCGCTCACGCCTTTGACGCTTTCATTCGAGATTAAGAAGTGAGGTCGTGTTATGAGGGCATTCTGTTTGTTTTGACAAATATGCAAAAGCTTACCGAGAGAAGCTATGAGTGAAAGTGTCCTGAATATTCCTATGTGGTCCATTTATCTGAATTTGTGGAATCAGCAATGTACATGACGAGAAGTGCAACGGTTGTAAGAGAATGTAAGATTGGAATAAACATGAGACTAACAAGAAATTATAAAAAGAATTGAATGATGGTAGCCGAAGCAGGAAGCTGAAAGGAAAGGATGTAGATGATGATGACAAAATTGCCGCTCATTGACAGTGTCAGTGAAATGGGAGGAGAAAGTTGTGAAAGCAAGAATAATAGAAAATGTTTGCTGTAATTACAGTTTTTCAACCAGATATCCTCATTCCACCTGACGACGATGGCATTCTAAAATCCGGATGGCAGACATTCGGCCCTCGTCTAATTACATGTGGTCTCATCCTTGATCTAATGATGAATAATCGTAAAGCTTGGCGATAATATAAATAGAATGAAGGTGAAAGCAGTTTAACAGATCAAAAAAAATACGTTTGGGACTGGACTTTTGGCATCTTATTATGAGATTTTGAAGATAAACATGAATGCCAAATCTGATCAAACCAAATACGGTCTGAAGATAAAGTAAATTCAATCTAAAAGTAGTTTCAAATAAGTGAACATGTTGAAACAGTCCAGCTACTAGTTGAGGATCAAGGGCTGGAACCAGAAAAGTGATGAAAAAGGAGAAGACGAAGAAGAAGGAGAAGAAGCAACAAACCGGGGACGACAATTGAGAGGAAAATAACGGAGTAGCTTACGATACAAGCAAAATCATTGAAATGGAGACGAGGCAAAGGAGGAAAACCGAACAGAAGTGAGAGTCGTTTTAATAGCGACGCGAAGAAAAAAAAGGCAAATGAAATCCTAATATGGAGTATGCCGAGAGCTGTAGAACTAAACGATTATGTTCTTGGATAAGACTTGTGTGCTGCTTTTTGACAAAGAACGTCGATCGTGCACAATGAACATGTTGTCTCAGGTGGAGGCATTCTGAATGCAGACAAACTCACGATAATCTCAGTTTTTTTTTCAATATTTGACTTGAAAATAATAAGAGAAGAGCTCCAAAGAACAGCGGTCAGATAAGTGCGTGAAAGCTTTTGACTATTTTGGATGGGCGATGCTTATCCTGATTTGAATGGTTCAGGAGATACAAAAATTGAGAATAGCATTTTTGAGGCTGAAGATGAAAGCAAACAGATGTCCGTTGTCTATGGTTATTCATGCCCAGAGGGCAATACGCTTCTTGAACGGGTCAACAAACTACAAACAAACAATAAGCCGTGTTATATGTACTCTCGTATTCTCTTCATCATCATCTTTTTCCACTTTTCATCTGAATACACAGAAAGAAAGAAACGTTTAGAAGATATGACTGTTCAATTCAATTTCTCTTTATGCCCTCAGGCGATGATTTTTAAATACTTCAAAATGAGATGGATTATGTTAGAATTTTGTTGCAACATATTTCGTTTTGATCATTCAAAAGCAAGGCAGCAAGTTGGAAGTATGAGAAATGAATAATAGCACATCTAGAACGGTTTCTTGATGTTCATAGCTGGAGATGAAGCTGTGAATAAATGATTGTCTTTTGATTGCCAGGGAGGAGATACAAGTCTTATATGGCCATCAAATGAGTCATGTGATGAAGATATAAAAGATCTATTTCATGGTTTTTAGATTTGTTTAAATGGCCGATAAGCATGAAGCTTCTTCTTAACAAGGTGTTTGTTGAAGATGATGTATCAGTCAGCTAAGCTCTCAAAACTTCACACACATATAAGCTTGTTGTGGATCACCAGAGATCAGATTTAAAATGAGTAAACCTGTATTTTTTTGCATTTTGAAATGAAACAACCTGTTTATAGCATTCTGAACGAGATGTTTGAAGGGCAAAGGGTAGATGGTTTAAATGATATGTAAGCTAAGAGCACAAGGCCGTTCTAATCCAATTAACAGCTTGTATCTCACGCTTCAATCCTTGTAAGGTAGTCGCAAGGCATTATATAACAAGATGAAGCCGATCGGCTAAACCTGTTTTTAATCTACCGCAAGATTGCTCAAGGGCAAACCAACGATAATGTTAGTCAGCTGTTCCTCTTAGTTTGTCATTATCTTCGCCATTTTCTATATCTTTCTCAAAAAAAACGATATCAAGCAAGTAGACGCATTTGCGAAGAAACGAGGAAACAAGTAAATGAAAGTGAAAGATCCGAAAAGTCACCAACAATTTTTTTTCAAAAGGAATGCTTTGGAACAAAAGCAAAACATCGGCTGGATGGGATAACCTGACAGTTATAAGAAGAGAAGAGAAAGTCTTTTGAATGTGTGTTTTCAGCCGAAGTTGACGAACGGCAAGACTGTTAGCTTCAGACAGTTATAATAACCGGAACAGCTGATTAGTACAATCGTACTATCCGTGTGCGTATGGAAGCTTGAAGCATATGAGGATATGAGGACTGTAACACTGGTTAATATGAATGAAGAGGATGGAGGAGGAAGAACAATTTGTAACGTACAATTTATATTACCAAAAACGAGATTTATCCAACACTTATGGCCATGTTTGGACGATGGCTAGTGATGCAAGCAGAAATTGAAAAAGAAGAAATAAACGACGACAATGAAAGACATATTTGGAAAATAGTTGTATGTATATAGAGTGCTGAAATTGCTTAATAGAGTTTGAGAATAGCCACGACAAGATTTATGCTAAAGAATGGATGGGAGGATGCGAAAAAGAAAAGATGAAGCTAAACTGAGGAGAGACTGAACAGTCTGGATTCAGAACAAGGCAACATGGTAAAGAGGCTAGTAGTGAAGCTTTCGGATCCTTTTTATGGAATAAGAAAAGGAGAAAAAAGCTTTTAACAAGTTACGAACCATAAATGACAATCTCATCAACATCCTCTTACATAGTCACTTCATCACACACACCGGCAATAGACGAGAAGCGGAAGAATATTCGTTCAAGCTTGCCAAACTGAACACGTTTCCTTCTCTTCATTGTTCTGATATGAATGAAGAAGCCATCTCAGTTTATGCTAATGTATGATGATACACGTGGTATGTCTTCTTGCGCAACAAGAAAATCAAATTTTATTTTCTATCTGCAGATACTACGAACCGGTTGTGAGTCAAACTGTTTATTCAGTAACATCTCATTCAATACCATCACAGCATGATCATGATCATGTTCATAATGCTTTGAACATTTGTCAAACAGAGCTTTTCCCTCATTGACATGACATCTCGTTGTTGTCTCCTAATCATCGAAAGATCAAAATTTTAATTTCATTTTTCTGATATCTCTCATCAATTTAACAAAAGAAATTCCCAGATGCATTACGCAATTCTCGTCATTGAATCTAGCCGAAATTGGAGAAACCGAGGTGTGCTAATCCATATTAAGCAATCTGTTAAACCTGTTTTTGTGTCGTCTTTCAAATGCGGAAAATGCCCTAAGGGCATACGAACTAGTTAACCAACATTGAAAAGCTGAATCAAGAATTACGTGATAAGGTTGAATTATTTTTTTTTCGTTATAAAAGGAAAGAAGAAGGACATCTCAAATCTCAATCTCAAATGTTATTTCAAGAAAACATGAAAAGCCATGAAAACTATTTTTCTTTTGAAATTAGAAGTGAAACCCCCCTCTGTTGGTCAATTGACTTCAGCCATATATGGAAAAATGCCTCCTGTTGGATGTAAAATGCTTTTTTCATAACATTAATCCCTGTTAGCTACTCAATGCCTTCCCCCAGATTTGTGATCCGACACTGGCTTGGTCATCGACGCATTTCATTCGTATTTGCCACGGAGGAAGAGAATTCATACAAAGAAGTTGAAAGATATTTCATTTCTTTCCCTTGTAAGCAACGTCTCAAAATTTGAGAGAGAGAGAGAAAGAGAGAGAGAAGAAGAGGAAAGATAAAGAGAAAGTGAATTACAGATGAAGAGATCTTGAAGGAGAGTTCAGGAAAAGCGAGATTGGACTGCTTAAACAAATATTTTGAATAAAATAATTTTTTTTGTCTTAATTGGTGTTGTGTGGAATGTATTTTCAAATAATTTTTGAGATTTTTGAGTCTACACACCATCTTTGAGCTTTGATAGAAACATCGTCTTATGATTTTTCTGCTTTGGAAACAA